GGGAGCGGCGGTACCGTCAGGTTCACCTGGCAAGGTCGGGGTCGGGGGGCAGCGGCGGAGGGGAAGGCTGCGGGCCCATGTCCCACCTCGCTGTTTTGGCGTGCAAATAGGGGCACTGGGGAGGGGTTTGGAGGGCAGCGAAGGTGGTGGAGGGCCTCGAGGGGAAGCCACAGTAGGAGCGGCTGAGGTCGCTTGGTCTGGTCAGGCTGGAGAACGGGAGACAGGGCAGAGCTCATCGGGGCCTGCAGCTCCTCCCGAGGGGCAGCGGAAGGACAGCTCCGAGCTCTGCCCTGTGTGACACCGACAGCACCCAGGGAACGGCTGGAGCTGTGCCAGGGGAGGTTTAGGGTGAATATCAGGGGAAGATTCTTCCCCCAGAGGGTGCTGGGCACTGCCCAGGCTCCCCAGGGAACGGTCCCGGCCCGGAGGCTGCCGGAGCTCCCGGAGCGTTTGGACAGCGCTCTCCAGCACGGGGTGGGATCTTTTGGGATCTTCCTGTGCAGGGCCAGGAGCTGGACATCAGTGATCCTTGTGGTTTTCTTCCAACTCAGCATATCCTGTTTGTTTGTGTTTCTGGCATGACGTCATGCCCCAGTGCCACCAGACCGCGTGACGTCACCCGGTGCCCTGGGCTGCGGTGTCCTGTGTCCTGTGTCCCACTGCCACCACCAGCCCAGCGCTCTTCCCCAAGTCACCAGGGGCTGTGAGGACAGGGTAATGTTAAGTGAAACTGTGCCAGATCGTTTTTGGCTGACAGGGCAAAAAAGCCTGTTCTGGTGTCATGCTCGTGACGGTGTCAGGCAGCCAAGGGATGTGCACGGCAAAACAACAAATCCCATCAGGCAGCCAAGGGATGTGCACAGCAAAATAACAATTCCCATCAGGCAGCCTCCGCAGCAAGGCTGGCCCTGGGGTGTTGTGGATTTGCCCCTTAGGTTGGTTTTTGGGCTGTGGGTGCTGCCACTCCCCCGCAGAGCTTTGGCTGGTGGGGAAGGTGAGCCCTCCCTGCAGCCTCTCCCATGCTGGGAGCACCCAGAATGGCTCTTGTCAAACCATGCTGTCTATGTTCATAAACTTCCCAAGAGTTCCTGTCTGCAGGGCTCTGCCAAATGTGTCTCCCTGGTTTGACAGAGGGTCAGAGGGGGCTTGCAAATGGTATTTCTGCAAGACATCAGCAGGCTGTGCTCTGTCAGGTGTGTCTCGGTTTATTGCTTCATGTTACTCCAGGTATGAAGTGATGTTATAAGTAGTGAATGTAAAACCATATAACTTGCAACCTCTTGGGCCCCAATTTTGCTGTGCCATATAGATGTGTGTAATTTTAAGTACTATCAGTGCTTCCACTGACCTCAGTGGGACTACTTAGAGTGCCCTAAGTTAGACACAAATACACTTCTGCAGGGTAGGAGCCAAGGATGACTCATACAAGCACATGCATCACAGATTTTTATCTTTCCACTGCTATTTATTGTTACAACTTATGGTTTAATAAAGGTTAAATGGGTTGAGCTCAGCTTCAGGTTCAGTTATAGAGTAGACAGTTTCTATTCTGGCACATTTCATCTTGATTGAGCTTAACACTTTGTTGAGGAATTGTGATGTTGGCACTGATCACGCTTTATCCTTTTTGGGTCCTTTATCAGCTCCAGCAGCTGTTTTGCATAAGTGCAATGGATGAAGAATATGGATTTTGCAAATCATTTTATTGTTCCCAGCACTCGGCAGTGAGAGATCATTGTCTGCTTAGCAATAATGGCTTTTCCAAAAGACAAACAATTTCTAATAAATCAGACCTCGAAGAATTTAATAGTAAAATTAAATGACCCATCACCAATGGTTTATGCATTATGCAGGCTCAGTGCAAGTATAGTGGAGAGCATATGCAATTACTGAAGATAATTATTCTTATGAGGGAAAATGTTGCTGAGCATTTCTTGTGTTAAATAAATGAGTGAGATTCCTAATGTCATTTAGGAGAAACGTCACAGACGCTTGGAAATCTTAACAATTCAAATTTAATAATTTAAAATGACAATAGCACAGGCAAAGTACAAGAGGCATGGGATTATTCTCTAATAAATCCAAAGTATCAGTTGGGAGGTTATTGTTTTAGAAGACTGGAAGCTATGAGGTGCCTGTGATTCAAGGGTGAAGATGAGGGTTTGTGTTTGCTGCAGAACTGTCATCAGTTTTAACTGCATCAGGCACTGTGAAGTCAAGTCTGATGCATGCAAAAGTGCATTTTTAGCTGAAGGCAGCTGGTTCACAGGGTGATGTCTGCTGAAGGTCTGGGACCATAGCACCTCTCTTGCCACCACAAGCTGTGACACACCTTTAAAGCAACTCAAATGTCAGTGGTCCACAAACCACTATCAGTCCACAGCCTGTCTGTGTGGGGTCTGCATAAGGTTGCCAAAACAAGCAGGCCAGTGTCAGCAGCCTTTTGCAGCCTCTGAAACACTCTGAAAATACCAGGGGTCTAAAAATGGAAGATTAAAACCACTCCCTCAAACAGAATAATTGTTGATCAACAGCAGCCTTAGTATTTTTTTTTTTTTTTCAGACCTATGCTGTTGCTGTGGGTGGAATGCTCTTCTTCAGAGGCAGCAGGACTCAGTAATGCTTTCCCTAAAGTGTAGCTGGTGAGAAACAGGAATGAAAGAGGCCTTGGTAGTGGTTTTAACTGTTTAGCTGTGGGAAAGTAGCTTCTCCAGCACAATGGTATATTTGAGTTCTCTGCACTAGTCTCATCTTAAATGAAAGGACAAGAGGCGTGATGGAAAACAGAGTGGGGCCAATGATTAAAAAAAAAAAAAAAAAAAAGAAGTAGGCAGATGAAAGGATTGCTGTTTACAGAGAAACAAGTGGGGAGCCTGTTTTCCAGTTTCTCCTGCAGGATTCAGTGGGTGAGTTGGTTAGTCAAGCTTGAAGGAGAGTTGGACACAGCTGTCTTCTTTGCCTTCTTTGTTAAACTGGTTTTGGCAATAGCTGCAGCAGAAATGGAAATGGGTCAGATAACACATTTCTCATCAGATGTCAAGTCTGGAATCTGGTTTGACCTTCGACAAATTAACTTTCACTGAAAAAAATTCCCAGTCTGGATAGCATCAGCAGAATTCCCCCTTTTGAATATGCTTAGCTTGTCTCTGATGAAAGACAATTACTAGAAATTACCTGGTTTTATGCATGTTACATTATTTTTCAGAAGTGCTTTAGATAGTCTTAGCTGGTAATTCTAGAAGGATAAAAAGTGTCTGCATTATTTATTAAGTAAATGGGTCCCTCTGTGTTGTGATATTTACGAAATTCTCTTCCACTAACATCTGTTATTTGTAGAAGAAAAGATGATAAATTTGAAGTCACACAGTCAATGACATGAAGTGAGATATTTTTTAGGATAACATTTGAGCTTATGGCTTCTGTACTTTGTAAATGGTTTTTTAAGGCTCTGGAGCAGTCTAGATGGAATCATAACTTCAGGGAACACATATTGGATTAGAAATTTTCTTGAATCAGGCTTCCAGGAAAATTGATTACAGATTGTCTCTTATCAGTGTCATCTCATTTTGTTACAGGTTGGTTTTATTCTGGCTTGTGTGCAAAAGACAGAAAATGAATGTATCCTAATGTCTTAAAATATCTTCTGTGCACATTAATTTGAGGACTATCTGTCCCTAGACGGAATAATTTTTCACATTGCTATGAAGTTTGGGTAGAGAAGACAATGAAGAATGTATGACTGCTGAGATGGAGCTCATTGTAAAACAAACAAAAATAACAGGAAGCAGACTTAGAAAATGAAGCAGCAACAGGAGGTATTGCAAAGAAAGGAAATACGTGTAGACATCAGTGTCCTGATGTTCAGAAAGGGACTTCCTCTTCTGGCTGTAGATAACAACCAGGAGACTTTTACCAAATAATTAAATCATAAGATACAGTATTTAGATATCTAATACCAATTGTGCCCCTAAAATCAAATAAGTAGATGTAAATACTAAAAATCAGATGTGTGTGTGTGTGCTTTGGTTTTTCTCTGGATGGTAAATGAAAGACTGGCTTTAGAAAACCAAGGCTTAAAAGCACTTTGATATTGGTGGAGAGGAAGGCAGAAATTACATCCTCTTTCTCGCTTTTCTCCCTCTATTAAGAAAGCACTTTTTCTCTGGTAACAAATGCAGAATCCACTTTTAGAGATAATTGTGCATTTTGAGTAGTCTGAACAATTTGTTCTTTTTGTAAAACCTTTTTCCCCTTAATGATTATTGTTCCAGAGATTATTTATTTGGTTGAGAAGATGAACATCTCGTTGACTGGAGGTTGTACTAATGCCTTCTTACCCTCATTTTATTACTGTGTACTGAGCAAAGCTCTGATTTGGAACCTCTCAGCTGACAGTTTCTATTATGCTAATAGAAATCTGTTTACTGGAAATTAAATTTGAATACATGGTAACCTTGCTGTCATTAATAAACTTATTGTTTTGTTTTGGTTTTTTTCAGTTTTACTTCCAGTTTCCACTTCAAATATTGATGGTCTTGAAAGTGCATTTGGATCACAGACATTTTCCAGCACAGAACAAATCAAGAGCTCCTCTCCTATCTCAGAGTAATAGAGACAGCTTAATGTCATATGACCTCATTTCTCCAAATTAAATGAAAGAAGAATTTTCACTAGCTTTCCATGAAGCTCAGCTATTGCCTGTTAATTTTGACTGTTAGTGCTGATCTTTCAGTTGGATTCACAGTGGAAAATGTAGCTTTTAACAGGACAGTTGCTTTCGGGTCTTTCAATGCATCACTTCATGCAGTGTCTCAAGCTTTAATAAGTTCTCCAGCACACCATGATATCATAGCCAAAGAGGGGACCAGTATTTTAATTGAATGTAAACTGAATATCAGCCAGTATGAACATATCCTTTGGTATAACTCCAGAGGACACCTGCTTGAACAGAAAGATGAAGGTGAGTTTTCCTGCTGTTTTCTATCCATCATTATTCCCATTTTAAACAGTATTGGAAAACCCCTGGGACTTTATTATAATTTTCTCTTCCTATCCTGCCATTTTTACAATGGGGAAATAAGGAGAGAGCAAACAAAGTTCTTTTCCCTCTGAAGTGTTGCATGGGAATTGCACCTGGGTACTTCTGTTCCAGCCCATCCATCCCGCTTTGGTGCCCCACAGAATGATGTTGTTCAAGAGTCATCCCAGTATTCCATACAGAAGAAATGAGTCTTCATCTTACCCAATACTAACTGATGCTTTTATTTATTATTGCCTTTGTTTAAATAATATTTTTCCAAAGGCAAGAATTAAACACAATTCTCCACAACTTGAGACCTTTTGAGCTGGCAGTTGGGGCTTTAATTTTATTACAGGACATTTTAAAACGTAGTACATTTAATTTTTTGGTTTGTGCACCAGTGAGACTGTGGAAAGTAGCACAGTATGTAATGGCCAACGATGGAATTCATGCTGTTTAACCCTTTTGAACTGAAGGAGAATATATTTTCCTAGCCATTGGCTCTTACAGTTTTATCTCTGCTGTTTTTAATCTAAAAAAATGTTTTAGAGATGCATGTGTTTTTCTCTGTTAGTATTAATGAAGGTCATCAAACTAATTGATCAGATCTTGTTGGAAGCCATCTTTCTGCCTTAAGTATTCAGTAACCTTTTTGTACTGATAATGCCATCTGGAGATTAGTTCAAAGCAGAGTAATTAGAAGAATAAGTTATGAAAACAGTTCAAAGCAGAGTAATTAGAAGAAGTGAGTTATGGAAACAGTTTTCCCCCTAAGTTATAAATGCACAGCAAATGCTGTATAAAGCTTCTTGTATTGATTTCTTTTTACTTGGGTTTTGCATGTCAGCACTGCATGCTCAGCAGAAAACCGTCTCAAGAAAATTCTGTGTTCTTTTGCCAACAGAGCCATTTACAGACTGATCTTTTTCATTGGTCCCTTGACTTTTGACTCTGAACGTATGGAAAGTTAGACTTTATAGAGGATAGTCTTCTAACATAGGGTGAGAAGCCCTAGTTAAGAATTAGAACCCCTGTCAGAAAGAGCCAGCAGGCCAGAAACACCCTGGAAAGTGCAGATGAGAGAAGGATGTAAGTGCAGCATAGCAAGCATGCAGAAAAATTTACCATTAAGCAGAAGGATGGGTAAGTGGGTTATGGCTTTCTGTGTCACAAGCATGAAAAGGACATTTCAGTCCTTGGTATACTGTTACTATGCTAGAAGTGGACTGCTCACTGCCAAGCTTTGACTGCTGTTGATGTTTACCCTGTGATTTTTGTTTGGTGAGTTCTGTTTATTTCTTACCCCTCTGCAGGTGACCGGTGGAGGATTGCCGATAACTCCCTCAACATCACGAAGGTCAGCTTTGCTGACCGGGGCCGGTACACGTGTGCAGGCATTAATCATAACGAGACCTTGTACTACACAGTCACCCTGAGGGTTATCTTCACCTCAGGGGACATGAGCATCTACTACATGATTGTGTGCCTCGTTGCCTTTGCCATCACTCTGATTTTGAACATCACCCGCCTGTGCATGATGAGCAGCCACCTCCGCAAAACGGAGAAGGCCATCAACGAGTTCTTCCGCACGGAAGGGGCTGAGAAGCTGCAGAAAGCTTTCGAGATAGCCAAGCGTATCCCTATCATCACATCTGCCAAAACGCTCGAGCTGGCCAAAGTCACTCAGTTTAAGACCATGGAGTTTGCTCGCTACATCGAAGAGCTCGCCAGGAGCATTCCCCTCCCGCCTCTGATCCTGAACTGCAGGGCGTTCATGGAGGAGATCTTCGAGGCCGTGCGAGTGGACGACCCCGACGAGGTGGGTAAGGAGCACAAGCAGCCCCCCGGCTGCGGGGCCCAGGCCACGCTGTTCCCCAGCAGCGCCGAGATGAAGCGCAGCGATTCCCCGGCCGGGGACTCGGACGATGGCTCCCTGAGCGAGCAGGGCCAGGAGATCGCCGTGCAGGTGTCCATCCACCCCCAGTCCCAAGGGCAGAGCATCGACACCGTGTCTCACGGCAGCTGCCACTCTGTGCCTGCTGAGGAAGGCGCCTGCTGAGCCCAGAGATCCGCAGAGGGGCCGAGGAAGCTCGGGTGATCCAAGGGTAGTGTGACAAAAATGTCTGCAAACAAGCTGCCTCAGTCCCACGTGCACAAGAGTTTTCCAAGTTGCAAGGTGCCAGAGCTAGTTCTGAAGTGTGTATTTTCTGTCAGAGTTGATTTAACAATTCCAGTCTGCTAGAAAAGGCCGTTTGGAATATTGTGTGGGGGCTTTTCTTTCTAAAGCAGGCTGGCTATATTTAAAACAGTTACAAAACAGGAATTCTTTGTCCTTGGCTCCTTAGTAGTTTTTGATACTTCAGATCTATGTAAGAAGTGACCAAGCTGAGCAGTACAACTTGCAATAAGAACTTTTCCTTTGTGAGCTCCTTCTTTCTTCACAAAGTTGAGCTGAAATTCCTTTGAGTCAGTGTTGTTGTCCTGATGAATTGAGTTCTGTGCTCTTTTTGAGTTGCCTCTTGGTGCGTGTAGCCCATCAGAACCATGGTGAGCTTGAACAAATCTGTTTTGTGTCACGTGCTTCTGTGTTGCTATCAAAATGTACTGTACTTAGGAAAAGAATAGTGTCAGGATCTGCTGCTGGATTAAATGAATTGTTGTAGTTTCAAAGCAGCTTAGAGAACAACCAGGTCGTCTCAGTTTTCTGTGCATCTGCAGGAAACTTGTGTGCATTCTAAAAGCTTTTTGCTTAAACTTGGTGCTGATTGCCAAAGCGCCTTACCATGGTCCTGTCCCACAGAACGGAGCAGTGACAGCACTGCTGGCACTGCCTGGCTTTTCATTTCACTGATTTCACTCACTATAGAAAATCCAAAGTTTTATATTGTATTTGACGTTGTGGTGAGAAAAGGATGACAGTAATCACATCGTGGCAAAACTAGTAAATGAATTTATCATCTACAGACAGGTGTCTCAGGCACATCTTCCTGAACAGCATCATAACAAAGCAGGTGAAAAGTAGTGACACTGAGTCGCTCTGCTCTGGCTGGTCCTGTCAGAAGGCAGTGGCAGAGAGAGTGGGGGCTGGCTGAGCTGTTTCCAGCCACTGTTTGCAGGAGGGGACTGACTCACTGATAGAGCCCAGCCTCGTGTGCTGCAGAGGTGCCAGAAGGGAGAGCTGCAGCTGCTGACATATGTAGACACGAGTACTTCACCAAGGATCTCCCACCTGGCTTCCTCAGCTGTAGAGATCCAGCCTCCAGGAATCAGAGTGCAGACAAGAATCTACCTTCTTCTACTCTTTGGTGCTGTTTTTTTTTCTCCTTAACATTTGTAAGTTGTATCACTTAAATAGCATTTTATATCATGTTGAGATTTAGTAGATGTAAAGCTTGTAAGCACTCCACAAATTAATTTCTTACAACTACTGAAAGCATATTGCCATATAATTTTAACAACTTGGCAACAGGAGCGCCATTTAATTTCACACAACTCTTTTTTCTTTCCTTATTATTACAGAAATGTCAGTTGAACAAGTGATTCTGGAGGGCTGCTCAGGATTCTTAAGAGGATTTGACATTGCATTTACATGAGTAGAGGTGGAAAACAAGCAGGCACAGTGGTAATAGCAGGGTGGGGCTGACTGTGGTAATACATGCTCAGAACAAAGGGGCTGAACGAATTATAGTTACCATATCAGAGAGAGGGGAAATGACAGCATCTATTACCATTTTAAACTACCTTCTGGGGAAATTCCTGCAGTCAGACACCAGTTAAATCACCCTAGTTGCCTTTGGCCTGTCGGGTAGGAGTGGTGTTAGTCAGGAAGGAAATTGCTAGCCTTTATTACAGTAACATTCCCACCAGCTTGGTGCCATTTCCAAGACTGTAGCAAACTTTGTCTGCTTCAGGGGAATAAAAGCCTCTGTACACACTTCGAGTAGCTGCCTCAACAGTGACTTCTTGTTTTGCTTCCATAGTTTGATGGCACTTTATGTCCAGGTGAGAAGTTTGTATAGTGTTGTGTAACCTGTCTGGTTTCTTTTAAGTTTTTTGAGGTTATCAGTGTTAAAAGATACTCTGTGGATAAATACCTATTTCTCTTAGAAGTAGGAAGCTGCTGGCTTCACTTCTGTGCTACAATGGGTTCTGCAGGTTTGTTGCACATGTGAGAGGGGAGATTTGGGAGTTTGCACCCTTTTGGATGTGCAGGTCCAAAGAGGTGAAGGCTACAAGAGGGAATGATCTGTTTTAATCTCCTTTGTGCCACAGGCCATCAGAATGTACCCACACCTGCCTTATTTCCATATAAACAGCTCTCCTTGCTTCTGTGGAACTGTTGCATGATATGCAACATGATATGGATGTGTTACCCCTAAATGCACACACAGAGAGAGGTGCCTCTACAAAATCTAAACTATTTAATTGCTTCCTAAGAAGCACTTATGATTGACAGATGTCACATCAGAAGTGGCAGCTTACAGGCAGCAGAATTACACTGAAGGTGTGTCAGATGGGTGTCAGGAGAGCAGTTTCGAGACTGATTTGATCTCTTTTTTGATTTTTAGATTTTATTTATGTAGCTCCAAGTTCTTACTGAGCACAGTTACCTGGTGTCTTCATACATCCTATTGCTGATTGAGAGGAAAGAGTGACCATGCATAAAGGTCCTCAGAAATGCAGTTGCAGTGTCAATTGCTGGATAGCAAAGCTGAGAGTTTTCCTGAATTACTACAGTATTTTGTTCCTTAAATGAATTTCATTCCTGAGAAGGACATTGTTCTGTAAGGATTTCAGTATATCAGGAGTACCTTCTGAATGTAGGAGATGATCCTACTCCCACTGAATTCAATTAGAGAGAATTTGGAGCTCTGTGCATTTTATAGGATTTTTATGCATCTGAAGGCAAGGATGATAGTGATGTTAAATGGTAAAAGTGATTTCCAGAGAATGAAATTTGACACCAGTTTCCAAACAACTTGTGAACTATTCTTGTTACCCTGAGAGTAGATGTGTTCACTTAATGTCTTTGATGAATCCAATTGAACATTAACATTGAAAGTGTTTCTCTCTTAACTTTTTGTAGGATGAGAAGAATTTACAGTGGTTTCCTTGCTTTAAACTAAAGTCTCTGACAATCACAAGGCTATTCTATCTCTTCTTTGTGACTTATTTTAAAAAATATAAAATCTACTTGTTATCCAAGAGTACCTAAAACTAACTTTGTAGTGATTATTTGTATTACCTGGATTGTAAAGTAACTGTTTAATGTAACCATGTAGAATTTCATACTTTCATAAAATGAATTGGTAGATTTGCAAAATAAATTGAAAAGTAAAACCTTGTTCTGCTGGAATTTTGTTTTCCAAGTGAGGAGTGCCTGTCTCTCCAAGGTTATGTAGCAGCTGTATTGAGCTCAGCAGAATGTTGTTCATCAGCCTGACAGAGGTTACTGGGATATTCAGTCATCTGAAGGACCATTCCTGCTATGACATCTTTGGATCTGTCTTGTTTTTGCTTTTGTTTTTGGTTTTTTTTGTCTCAAAGTCTTAACAGCATCTAATAATTGTTCCCAGCTGCATATACAAACAGGTACAGACCTGAAATACCAAAGACCTTGTTTACTTCTTTGTTTCACATTGTGTGTGTGACCTTCAGCCATAAATCTGTTTTATTTGTTCCTACCTTTTTCACATGATAGTACTATTCTATATTGTAAGCACTTTTCTTTTTGTAATCCCTCACCCCAAACACCAAAATTCCACCTTGCTGAGAAGCCTGTAGTGCCTTCCATGGGGGTGTGCAAGTGTGAATGAGAGCAGGATTCACCCACACTGCTTTTAAAGAAGAGTCTCTGGTTGCCAGTTTCTGCACAAGGCGGATAATGGCATTACAGCTGAATATTTGGGGATTTTCCCCTGAGAATCAGCTGCCTAAAGGAAGAATTATTGGACCCATACTCCTCATGCCAGGTCAATACTCAGTCAGCATCTGTTTTCTATCTCCTTGTTACAAGAGATGCATTAATGATAACAGTTCAGTTTTTTAAAGCTCCTGTAACCTGATCCCTCATGATCCTATCCACAGTGAACAAATTCATCTGCATCCATTTCCAGCACTTTTCCATCTGGTAACAACAGATCATTGAAAAGGGAGCTGCATTAAGGATGATTGTACTTTCATTTTAGGTTCACACCTTAAAAAGTACATTTTTTTCTTAATGTTATAGCACTTCTGTGAGTGAAGTCTCCAGCTGGAGACACAGCAGAGACACCACGGTGTCATTCAACTCAGGCAAGTTACAGCTTTATCGACTTCCCTTCAGCCAGGTCATTTCACACCAGCTGAGTCTCTTTCCTCTCCTCTTTTTTTTAATTGGATAGCAGCTCATTCAGATGTCTCCAAATAACTGCCAGCTTTTTTGCATGTGGAAGTGAGAATTACACCATCATTCAAAAAAGAAAAAAATTGTTCTGGTAAATGCTGAAATATCAAAAAAGCTCTAAAAGCTGGGAAGTTGTTCTTTATCCCTGGTAAAACAGTACCTATTCTTCGGTCATGCCTGGCTGCCAATGAGCGCAATAATACCGAGCAATTAGGTCTTTCATTTGCGTTTGGCTAATTAATTGTTTGCACAGTGCCCTGAATATGGAATCATTTTCCTTTTGGAAAGAATAAAAGGATTCAAATGGCTTTATCCCTAGTTGCTCTGAATGTCTTTTATTTATTTAATGGGAGAAAAATCCTCTGTTGCCCCAAATGCAAACCACGCTCTCGAGCGTTATGGCTGCACGGGGACGTTGCCATCAGTGGGGATGTGAATGCATCCACATATGTCCATCCATCTGCAGCCACGCTCCATATGGGATCTGGGGGTCCTGCTGCATGGCAATGAGCGTGCAGAGGCTGGAGCCACGTCCTGTGTGCTGCAGGGTTTGGATGTCAGAGCTGTCAGGGGCTGGAGAGGGATGAGCATCCCTTGGATTTCAGCTGCCTGCGGCACCACCGTCATTGTGAGCTGTGGTAGCGCTGGGAGGGCAGAGCTCTGCCACTGGACACTCTCTGAAGAGGTTTGTACCGAGTAAATCCAAGGCAAATGGAACCTGGGCTAGGATTTCATGAAGAAGGGACCCAGTGGACACAATATTGCAGAGGCTGTTGCCATCTCTTTGTTATGTTGGTCCTGCTCAGTGCCTCTTACTGCTACCATATTATTAAATGTATTTTTCATGTTGAATGGTTTTACAGACGTGCAAAAAGCCACCTCAGTGGAAAGTGAAGGAACATACTCGGCTCCAAGTGCAAGGCAGAGACTGCAATCACACACACTTCCACTAAAGGGGTTGGAGATAACTGGCTGGAGTTCCTCCTGCCTTCCCTGCTCTCCTATAAATCTGTTGTGGGCCACCTGCAAGAGCTGAAAGTGAAAATCCTGTCCCGTGCTACTTTCTCTTCCTCTGAAGATCAGGACACTGAGAACAGGGTTTGAAGGGAGAATGAGAGGCCACCTAGGACGTGTTCTCAGCCACAAATGCTCATCCTGGCTTAAAAACAGCTGCTGGCAGAGATATTGCATCTCCCAGGCAATCTGTCTCCTGCAGACTACTGGAAAGATTTCCCTAATATCTGCCACAAAGCATCTCTTAATGCATCACCCATCTCATCCCTTCCATGCCTACTGGTGCTACATCTGCAGCCCAAACCAGGGCCACCCCAAACATGCAGGAAAGGAATTGGAGGGCAACACAGATCAGGGGCCCTACTTGGCTTTACGTGCCTGCCTTGCCTGGAGGGATCATTCTGTGCTCGGCCTAAGCTGGCAGAATTTAACTGCAAGTCAAACTCCTTTTGTTTATTTGATGCCTGGATGTCTGAGTGTTGCTTCTTGAGCTTTGGACCTACTTGCTGTCTGTGCTGGGTCATGGAAATGTCCCTGACACCGGTGCTGTTCATAGCAAAGGAGTAGCTCCAGTGTTCTGGGTGCAGCAGTCTCGTGATAGCTTTGTACCTGTGTGTGGTAGGGGCTGGAAGGCAGCCACTGCAAAGCCCACAAGCCTCTCCATCCTTATCTCAAGAGATTTTGCAGAATTTCACTCACTTTCTCTCCTTGGTGTCTTCACTTTTGTGCATGAAAATATTCAGAGTATCTTGCCTGGTCAATGGGAGCATCCCAAGTTTTCATTTTTTCTTTCTGCTTTGTTTTTATTTTTGTTTTTTTTTCTTGTTTGTTTTTGGGGTTTTTTGGTTTGGTTTTGGTTTTGGTTTTTTTTCCCTTATGAGTTTTTTCAAGCTTAACTCTCCTAAATAATGACTAGGGAGGAAGACAGTGGACCAGAACAGACATGAAGGAGTTTGGACAACTGTCCTAAATTAGAGGACAGGTTTGCTTTGGAAATCCTATATGCATCACACTCTGTTACAGAAAGTTGGCTTTAACAGGAAATCTCTTGCAGCAGGGTGTCACTTCACTTCACTTCCACAGATTACTTGAAATGCTTTATTAATTCGATGACCTTGTGGGCTCTCAGGAAAAGCCATTTCTCAGTGTTTTGGGGAAAGAGAACTTCTCTGAGCTAAAGGGACTGTTTTGTTGCTCAGATTTATTGCTTGGCTGACTTAATTCACCATTCAAACACGATGATTTTTAGCTGCTGGGCAGTGGGCCTTGCTATGTTGAAACTAATTAACTGCTAGAACTCTTCTGAGCAAGGCTGTTTTCTTACTGGGTTTTGGGGCTTTTTTATAATCCCCAGAAATAAAGCAAACACGATCCTTGGAAGGCAGGGTTGCATGGATACGGTATCAGCACAGACACAGCCCCGTGCTGGATGACTCAGTGTCACAAAGGAAGAAAGGCTGCCAGCTGTCCCCGCTGCCGGCGTGACACCACACAAAGGTAAGAGGAGAAAAGAGGCAACATCTGAAGACAGAAGACAGGAGGGGTGCCAGAGTCATGACAAAGGGAGAACTCAGAGAATACCAAGAGAGGTCTCCACTCTACAGCTCTGGATCCACAGCCATCAAAGATCTGAGCTGTGGACCTGGCTGGCAGGCCAAGCTCAATGGCTCTGCAGCTGGAGAGTCCTCGCACCTCTGTCACCTTCCTTCATCTCCACCACTGGAGCTGCAGACTGTATTTCTGAAAGAACCTTGAACCTCATAGCTCAGACAGATCTAAAGAGCTGCAGTTCCTGCTGGCAAGACCTCATGAAAGCCTTGAGAGGGAGTACAAGGAAGGGAAAAAGGGGTTGTTCTTTGTCAGGATGCACCTGGCTGCAGGAAGGTGCTGGTTGTTATCCTGTCGGGGACTTATGCTCATCAAAATATTTTCTGGGAAAAGTTTATAACCCCAGCAATATTTCCTAGTGATGTCTAAAGGTCTAGAAGCTCAAGCAGAGACAAATTCAGTGTCTGTGTACTCCTTCCTACCATGTTTTCGCAAAGCACTTTCAGCCCTGCTCCTTGCTCTGGGTCCAATAGTGCAAGTGAAATATAAATTGCTGCTGCTCACTGAAAGCAGGAATCCCTCCTGGCTCCAGGGAGCTCCCCATCCATCTTTGTTCCTGACAGTTTGATTACCTTTATCATCATTTTTAAATGCAGAGCTGCAAATACCATTAGTGGTCATACAGAATGGCAGCTCGATTGACATGCCTCAACCACAGTGGCCTTCTTCCACTGGCAGCAGGGAGTGCAGGCCAGCCCCTCTTCCTCCCAAGAGTTTGGGCTGGGAGTGTCAGCCCCAGCTGCCAATTCCCCTCTGTCTCATTGTCTTCTTCCCTGCATTTCAATTCCATTGTTTCCAGGACTTCCAGCCTTCTTCTGAAGCCTCACAGCCTAGTTGCTCATTCCTGAAGCACAAGAGTATAGAGCAGCACCCCTGGGTGCATGATCAAGGAAATCTCATCACTTGGCTTGTTCTGAGCAAAAGGGGGAGTGCAGAGGATCAGCAGCATGTGGGAGAGGAGACCTTTGCCCCCACAGATGCTGGTGGAGCTCACCTGGCCAGGAGCTTCAAAAAGACCATGAGGTTTTTTGCCTGCCTAATTCTCTAGGTGAAGCCAGAGGAGAGTTAGTGGAGGTTTGTCACAGGGAGGTTTTTGAATAAGACAAAACATAATTTGTTTGGTGTGAGAGTTCAAAATAGCACTGGGGATGTACTCATGAGCTGCCCCATCTCTTAGCTCTCAGCCAGAGCACGTTCCAGCATCCCCTGGCATGAAAGGGTCTCCTTAGATGTGAGGCGATGGTCTGTAGTGATGCAGGGTCCCCAGGCAGGTGCAAAGGAGAGCTGCTTTACTCCAAAAACCCAGCCTTTTAAAGCAAATTAGCCAGTTAGC